TGGGATTCCCCAAGGAGCAGTATACAACTGCAGTGTGCAGTCAAGGTAAAGTGGGCATAAGGTCTTTTTGGGGGAAACAGAGACACCTGTGCCTTGTCACGCTCCTGCAAGCTTGTAGTGACCTTAGGAAGAAATGTGCCCCTTCACCACTCAGTGCTAACTCTCCTTTAAGGTGCATAAGAAAAATGTCTTTGACAGGCAGTCACGCCTCTCCAGTCTTAAAACATTTCTTGACTCCTAGTGTTGTTACGAAAAGGAAGAATCAGATACTGTACCTCCCCACACTGAAATCACAGATGCACACTCTCATCACGTGGCTCTGTATTGTTATTCTTTTTCCATCCCATCTTATAGGATTTAATTGGGTTAAAACTAAATTTTCACCCACCAGTTGTCTTCCTGAAGGTATTATTGACACTCAATAACAGAATGATATTGGGCCATTACAAGAGAAATGTATATTTTTTACTGTGTATCACATTTGTGCATTAACAATACCATCCTAAACACTGATATTATCATCTTCATGTTTTACTATAGGTGGTGTAAAGGTAAGTAATATTACTATATTACTATAGGTAAACTTGCATAATAGGGAGCAGACCAAGCAGACCAAGCAGCACACAGAGAGAAATGGGAGCTATAGAAACAGATTTTTGTTTTCCAGTCATATTTATGCAGTCTAACAATGTCCCATAACAAAAAATAGGAAGAAGGTGAAGTTGCAATTTATTGGATACTGAACTCAAACCACTCTATTGTTGTTACATTTACAAATTACATTTTTTCTACAGCTCATAATGTTAATGCATTAAAAAGAGTGGAAGACGTGCATTTATAAGTCATGTTTTACACAACCACTTAAAAAGAATCAGAAAGTTAAAAAACAAGATTAATGATAGTAAGACTCCTTTATATGCTCCATCTTGAGAAAATACCCCTGAAATGTCTATTTTTGTTCAATCCTTTAATTTCAGATCAGTAATTACCACTTTGGGTTATCTGATCTATTAGTTGTCTTAGATGTTAAAGTTTTTCAAAGGCAGAAAAGGCCATATTGTGTCAACCGTAAATAATTCAAGATATACCAATACTGCCTACTCAGCTGTAGAGAAAAATAGAAGTACTGGTTTCAACACAGAATGGATCAGTAATATAAACATTATTGGATGCTTTTTATTTTAAACATGTTAAATCCACTTAAATCAATTTACAGTAAAATATATGTAATGCCTGGTATATAATACCAGCACTCATCTAAAAATACAATATATGCACACACATACAGTATACAAAGTATGTACTGTGTACAGGTAGTATAAATAGCTCTAGTGTTGAAGATGTTACTTTTATAAAGAAATGTACTGTACCAGTCATTGGTTATAGTGCTCTTTATTGAGTGTTTATAGTTACTAGGCAAATTAATTTATGACTTCCCTAAAGCAATTTCTCCCAGTGTCTTTTGGACACACATGAAGAAGGTTCCATAACTAAACCTACTTAGGATTTTGCCTGCATCATATCTCAACATCACTACAGTATACTGTATATTTAGAAATATGAGCGCTATTTCTCCATTGTAAAATAGCTCCGTGAATGCAATCGTTTTATCCTTACAATACTACAGAGAAGGTAATATTTATGCATTGTGAGTTCCAGACAACATGTAACATCTCATGCCAGAAAATTAACACTGATAGCATAGATTTGGATGGTGCTGAATTACAGAATCCCACTGAGGCTCTGTGCATCAGACTGTTCTGGGGAAGCAAGGCAGAATATTTGCTTGCAGAGATTTTTTGTTGGCTATGAAAGAGCACATAAAAAAGCCTATAGAGATTTATTAATAGGAATTAGGGCTAGTGCAGCATGAAGATGCATTAATGCTACTGAGGTCTGGCAGTTTGGTCTAGAGGCAGGGTACAGATAATGTGCTTGCCATTCATTTTCTTTTGGTCTTGCACTGTTCCGTCTTCCTGTGGTGATCCTGATTCTGGTCATTCACACTTAGGTTTTTCATCTTTATTATTACTGAATAAGCCCTGGGCCTCCACCCTGCATGCTAATTTGCTCTTGTCCACACATATGGATATTTAGATTTTAGACAAAGCTAAAATTGGCAAATACTATTTTTTTTAGGAAAAGGTGTTTGTGATGAACACTATAATGACAAGGTTAGAGTGACTCATCATGGTATCCTATGAAAGAAAAGTAAAAATATGAGTCAGCAGCCCGCTGTTTAAGGACAAAAGGGGGGGGGGGGGACAATCAATGATACTGGTCAGAAGTACGTAGTGTACATGAAAAATGAATCTGACAGCTTTAATATTCATTTACACCTTTAAAGTTCTGTTTTTAATGAGGCATTACAAACATTAACCACTGTGCTTATTTCTTTCGCTATAAGAAGCACAGGATTGTGTTTCTGTATTGGCTCCCTTGCTTTGACGCTGCAGATGAATCAAGTTTAGAAAATGGCATTAAGGCATAATTTGTCCATGTTCATCCAGTCTCTTTTGTTCCGAATGAATACAGGAGTCCTGCAAAATGAAGGCTTTGAGGACTAAAACTTGATGTCTTTCCATAGTTCTTTAAAACTGGCATTCGTTTGGATGTCAGGGTGTGGAAGGCTAACCCAAGGCACAGTAAAATCTTAAAACAAAATCTGCAAAGACACGAAAACCAGTGGAATTCCAGTCTCCCGCACAAATTATTTTTGGTTGCTTTTAAAACGGCTACATTTTATAATTAAAAAAATGCAATAGATGTTGGAAAAATTAAGGAAATGCATAAAACATCAATCATACTATGAACTCTATGAATGCATAGAAGTCTTTATAAAGTTCTCTTTGCAGTTTCATGGCTGGACATGAAACCGAAACACTGCAAGATATGATTGCTTGTTCACAGCAGAATTATGGTGGAATTTTGTGTTTCTTTAAATGTATTCTTTACAAAAATGAATATTTCTTGCTACTCGCAAAACAAGCACAATGAATTTTTTTAACATAAATAATTTCAGAGAGTCCAGCTTTAGAATAAACATACAGTAAACAGTGAATCTGAGAGAACTGACTTCACACAGTTGTCTACCCAGATTATTCTTATGATCAAGTCAAAGGGGTAACTGAAAACGTGTATTTTTGTACTTGGAAAAAATGGCAAAATACAATTTTTAAGAAAATAATTCAATATTTAGATTATTAATACTGAAGCTAAGAACAAAATAAATGTTACAAACAAGAGGATATAATTTAGTTTGATTGCTAATCAGCTTTCTTAATTTAAAAAGCAAAAATGTAACAAAATCAGAACATATACAGTATATTATGTATTGTCCTGTGTGATTATGCTACCAAGGTCGGCAAGAAAATAAACAGTCTTGAGGCAATTGGTACTGCATAAATAAATAATGCACATTTTTTACTTTAGTCTGTGGGCAGAGCATCTTTCAACACTGGTTTACAGAGCCTAAGGTCTTTTTTCTAATTCATGTCATCCAAAAGAAATGGCTAATAATTGAAGATTTAAAGCTTAAACATTACTGAAGAAAAATCCGAAAGCATATGAAATTTCTATACCATCTGTAAGTATGTATTCTTTATGATGGGTATAATGACAGCAGTTTGACAATGAAGCTGAAAATAACCATTGGATTTTATAAGCTTTTTGGGGAAAACCCACCAGACATTGTGGTCCTATTCAATATTTAAGTGAGACAAACAATTTTATTTCTGATGATAGGTGTTTGCAAATCACATTTTTTAATGTCTTAGAAAGACTGATGCTATGGATTTTCTATTTGCCCGTATAATCTTTTCATATAGGTTGACCACTTATTGGTTTCTGTGTATACAGTGTCATCTAATAAATCAGTTCATACAATAGGCTGATCTGCAATTCTTTTCTGTGATACTGAACTAAAGGAATTGATTTTCAGCACAGTAGGTTACATATGAACAATTTGTTATGGGACACCAAACTCATACCTAATATCTGTATAAAGGAACAACATTATATTATAGCCTGTATCTATTTTCTAGAGGAACTTGTAAATGCTAAATTGATTCAGCATCATTTGTTTTCATTTGCAGTGATATTATTTCATAGATAAGATTATAGAGAACATTGAGATATTTGGAGGATATTTCACAGTCACAACTTAATCTGGTTTGGGGATATACCCTTTTATTTCTGAGAGAGATACAACTACATGGGGAAATGTTTATGTCTCATAGACATACACACACATTCTTAGGTATATGGCTGTCAAGCTGTAATAGTAATGAGGGAAATTAAAACCTGCTAAGCTGACATGAAGTCTCGGCAGCTCTATCCACACATGCTGTGAACTCTCTAACTGATCTCAATAGCAGAATCAGAGCAATAGGGGACAAAACTGTATAACAATGACATTACTCCTTACGGTGCTGTTGAAGTCCATGTGTACATACCACCTGGTAAACCTGTTGCAGTGAAAAATCTGGGCCAAATGTACAGTATGACCTTGATGATGGTCACCTCTTGTGGACATTATTTTAACTTCTCTGTTATGTGCCTCTAATTGATTAATGTATGATATAGATAAGTTCTCACCCTATATACTGTAGCAGAAGTGAAAATACATTCACCAAATTGTGAATAACATCTTCAATTAACATACGTTTTCCCATACATCCAACATTTCTCATAAAAGCCCACCACCACCCCCTTTCTAAAGCTTAAATGAAAACCATGGATTCTTCCCGGAGAGCCCAAGTCCTGCAGGTTTCATGGCTTTTAAATCAGTTTAAATCAGACCTGGAACAATTTAACTATGATCAATCAAAACATGGTATGTTCAATTTTGAAGTTTCGAAATCATTTTGAACACAAATCACAGTAACTGGACAGGGGCCCTCCATTACCAAGGTTAGAGGACCCAGCTTTAAATTACAACCTGTGATGATTTCACATTTGCCCAGTTCCCATTTCAAGGAAAAAATGCCAGAAACAAATGATTTAGAGGACAGCTTTAGTTACAAAAGACAGAAATAAAGGGAGAGTTTAATTCTTCTGGAAAATTATGTTAAATTCCTAACAACATCTGTGAAAAATGCCACAAAATCCAGTTCTTCTTAGAAAAAGTGAAAGCACCCAAGATGGAGCTACAGGAACTCAGAAACATGTAGGAACTGTCATATCCCACATCTATGGAGGTACACACCCCATATGGTGAGACCAACAACACAGAGGAGATGACAGAGAGATCCAGATTTTCCGGTCCCAGCCTGTCAATAGAAGTAAAGGAATAGACTATCATGACATGGCCCTTTAAACCTAACATCATATCGCCGGATGGGTTTTCTCCAGACTAGGACCAGGAGAAAGACAGTCAAGACTCTCAATGGCAGGGGAGCAGCTCCCAGGACAGCACTATTACAAATAAAGGAATCACAGTTGCAACAGCTTCAGTAAGTGCTGGTGCCATTAAAAGCACAAGACAAAGAGAAGCGGTGACTGTAGCTGACTGCATTCTCAAAAACAGTCTAAATGAAATATGTGTCCAGGACTCTGAGTCAACAACAGCAAGCTACTGTATAGAGCAGAAAAGCTCCCAGCAAAAGCTAGTGAAGACCCAATTACTGCTGTTCGTATGAAGACAAATAACACTTTCATAAACTGAACACTTTATACATGAACAGCATGACCAAATCAGTGGTCTTCTTGTGGATTCTGTCCACACCATGCAAAGATGAACAACGGAGAAACACAGCACATTGTGCAATGGATTACACCTTAATGAGACAGGATATGCAAAGAAATTCAAAAAAATTTACACTACAATGGAAATCAGGGAAAGTCCTAAGAAAATCTGCAAGCAGGATGCAGTAGAGTCAACACAAGAAAACCGGGGCAAAACAAAATGTCAAACAACCAGATATTTTTATGTTTAAACCTAAATGTCAGGAGGATCAGGAAGAAAATCTAAGAAGTAGTACTTAGTGCATTAGCATCCACGAGGTAATGGGAATCACTTGAACACAGAGTAGCTCACAGAAAATGACATTGAAATACAGTGTTGATATACAACATTAGTGGATACATATCTTTCCAAAGAGTAAGGAAAAATGGAAGAGGGGGTGTAGCATGAACTCTTAAATAAGTAAGCATAAATGAATTAAGTGTTTTAGAAACTATATGGGTTGGACTTTCAAAGTACATGCTTTCAGGTATAAATCACACACAACCAAATTCAACAATTCAGTTGTGAATCATATTGCAGTTGTATACAGTGTAATGAAAGCAGGGTGGTACAGTTAGTGCAAAGGAAGAAGTGAACATTGTGGGAGTTTTTCATTTTATTAACACAGATTAGAATGCCATTAGTGATGTCTGAAAACCAAATTGAAATTGTAGACATAGCGTCCATATTCCAATTCAAACTCTTACATTTCAGAATGCCAGTGTTGATGCAGTTTTTTCAATTAAATTAAAGTGAGGAACCAAAGGTGAGAGAACCATCAGGGAATCACGATCAGAATTTGGGACATTTTTAAATCATTTTGATATTTTACAAGTACAGTCCAGAACAAAAGTTCAGAAAGTATGGATTATAAAAGAAGGAAATAGAGCTTAAGAGAAGTAGAATGAAATAATATGATATGAAATAATCAGAAGATGAATGACAACACTTTAAAGAAATTCTGCTTGAAGCAAAGAACAGATACCACAATGGGATTCTGTTCCAAGTCTAGAAAGCTGTATCCTAAATTATTTAACAAACACTTCAAGAAAAATAAAAGAAGATAGAAAATACTTTATAAAATGATAGAAAAAAAATATCATGCAATTACAGACAGGAAGGACAACAAATTCCAAACACAGGCAAGCAGCCTTATTGGAAAATCCAAGAATAGATATTAAATTAATATTGCACGGGAGGTTAAAATTAATTATAAAAGTTTAGCTGTAATATTATATTGCAACAGCAAAAGAACTGTAGAGTATGAAGTAAGGTGTCACAGATAAAAATGTAAACTTTTACAAGATGAAGTGAAAATGACTAATACATAAAATATCTATTTCACACACAATTTTTCCCAAAGAAAAACTAAATACAGTAGCATGCCTAAGCCTGAGCAAGATGAAACCCAAAATTATATTTTAAAAACTGTAGAAGTGTTGCAGGTACAAGAATGTTCCAGATAAACAAATCTGATGCCTGACTGTATTCTAATACATGTACTTAAGAATGAGTGACGTTGTTCTTAGACTGTTCTTTTAACAGTCAAAGACTGGAATATTTCTAATGCAGCGCCTACCCATGAAAGGGTGACTAACTGATTCAGATAAATGTAAGCTAATAATTATTGCTTCTATCCCGACTCAGATTATGGAACAATATTTATAACTAAACTAGTGAATAATCTGTGTTCAGCATTTTAAAGATTATCCAGAAAGGAGTTAAAAAAATTAGGCCTTTCTTAACTAACTTGTTATAATACTTTGAACAAGCAACAGCAGTGATGGCTACAAAGTATATGATATGGTACTATATATTTACATTTTCAGAAGACATATGATAAATTTCCTCAAAAAACTTGGCTGGCAGTAGATGTTCACACAAATGCATGTATTTTGAATTTGAGAACTAGTCAGATACAAAAAAGACAGCACAGATAAGGGATGAATGGTCATGTTGGTGTGCTGTAACTAGTGAAGTACCACAGGGATCTGTGCTAGGACCACTATTCTTCCTAATTCATATCAGTGATCTAGATTCCTGTGTAGTAAGTAAACCAATTACATTGACAGATTATACAAATATACAGTAGGAGGATTAGCAAGAAAGAAAATTGGTGAATGAGCTCAAGTGCAGATTGTTGCAAGTACAGTAGGTAGCAGAAATATAAACTATAGATGTTAAATGAGAAATATGAAGAGTCTCCTTCTGGATAGAGGTTAAATCTCTGTGTTGACAAAATTTACATCTTCCAGACAATGTGTGGAAGACATTTAACAGGCAAACAATGTTAAGACGTTTTAAATTTAAATTTAAGTAAGATTTTAAATGTAACGAAATTATGTTAAATTGAACAATGAACCGGTTGGCACAGTGGCCCAGTGGCAAGCATTGCTGACTCGCAGGACTGGGGCCTGGGTTCGATTTCTGGGCCCCTATCTGTGTGGTGTTTATATTTTTTCCCCGTGTTCACATGGGCTAGCTCTAGTCCGAAGAAATGTTGATAGGCTAACTAGCTTCTGAGGCTAGGCTCCGGTTCTGAATTGGATAAGCGGTTATTGAAAGTGATGTGATGTGATGTGATGTGATGTGATGTATGATGCACTACTAAGATTTAAATACAATTTTTAATTTTGGAGATGAGAATACAAAAATATTTTGATCCATTGAACTTAGTCCAGCGAAGACCAAATAAGCACATTCCCAAGCTCAATGGAGTCCTCATCTGGCATGCTTAAAGAGAATGTTTTTAGATTGGAACAGAAGACAAGAAGCGACCCGATTCAAGTATTGAAAATACTCAAATGAACTGACAAAGTCAACTCAATGACTTTCTTTACAATCAGCAATGAAACCCGAAAAATGAACTCTGGAATATCACTCGACACAAGGTGCATTTGAAACAGAGCAAGTGTACTTCTTATATGGCTACTTTCATGAAACAGCTGGAAGCAGTCCTAGCACAAAAATAGGAATCATTAACTAGCAACCAAGCAGGCTATATGGGGTGAATGTTTCCCTCTTGATTGATTCTTGTGTTTCTACGTTTTAGAACTACCTACCAAAGAATTTGCATTCTGGTGCCCTAGTCATCCATAATAGGCATAAGCAAGACTGATGATAAATCCAGTAACACATTGTTTATGGAGACCTAAAGGGACTGATAATTATCTTATTTTTTATGAGTTTCATGCTACAGCTTTTTGCCTTTTGCATATTCTGGTATGCTTGTTGGGAGATATAACACGTTTATTTTCAACTGTGACAGTTATTTTAAAACATGAAAGGATAAGCAACACTGCTTTTTAGTGAATCTTTTCATTTAAACTGGAGTATTTCAGAAGTCTTCTGTGAGTGAAGAGGCCATTCACAGGATTGTTCAAAACATTGGAAGTGATATCCAGACAAGTCAGGGGGAAAGGATTTAGCCTATATACAGTATTAATTTTGTTCGCAGCCCTGTACAGATGACTGTGAAGAAAATGAACAGGGTATTTCCGAACATTTGAAACCAAAGTTAATCAAGCAGATTAAAGCAAACTAATTAAAAATAAGATACTCAATAAACATTCACAAAGCGCCTGATTCTCAGATGTCATTATTCCTCGTGAAATATGCTCAGTATCACTAGAGGAATACAGTTATATGTGTGGAGAAAGACTTAATTTATGACAACTGAAAGATTTTGATTTTATAACAATATAGGGAATTTGACATAAATATATCATACAAATTCAATCCAATTCAATTATGTCTGCCATTTTTCCTACACTGTAAACAAACTGAGCAACAATATTTTACCATATTATTTTGCTTTGCTGGATTAATAGTTTTTAACATCCATCGGCTTTTATCTCCATTACTTTCGCAACAAACTGTTATCCTTATTATTGTATAATTGCTCACTGCTGATTTTAAATCCAACAGTGGTTTAAAATATGCTGTGTCCTTGTGGTAAGAAAATGAATTATCTTAAATTAAATATTTCTGAATGTGGACATTTTACCATATTTTGTTTTAATTCAATATGTATCTGATTCATATAATTGAAGATATAAATACTAGAGTTACATTTGGCCTTATTAAAAAGTTTATAAAGTCAGAAACTCCCTCACATCAATTGCTGAAGTGTTCACAGTTCCCTTACATTGTTTTGTACTCCTGGAACTTTAAATTTTCCACAATAAGATAACATTTTTAAAGACAAACACATAGGAATATTAGGAGAAATATTATAAGATATTTATACTAGACTGAGTGGACAATATGGTAAAACGATCACTGTGTTCTTCTGTGTGTTTTGCTCATAAAAGGCCTGTAGTTAAATAGCTTGGCCAAATTATAATTGCAATGAAAAGGCCCAACGAATATTAAGGAATAATGTACTTAATACTTTAGTGTTTGATGTTGACTTGCCCTGCTGAGGAAATAACAGCCTTGGCTGTAAGATCAGAGTTGTCACAACCCCCCTTACTTATGAGGAATGAACCAGTGAGGCAGCTGCAAAGGTGAAGATGGGAGAGGAGAATGCTAGAAAATGTGTGAAAAGAAGTACATACTGTAGCAGGTGAGTATGTACTGTATATATAAGAGACAGGAAGTGCGAGATTACAATTTGCCCTCCTCCCACAGTTTTGTTTACACAACTCTGTACACCATGTCCAAAATAGCTGTTATTGTCACTGCAAATCTCACCTGTGTGATAATAAGCAGCTGAAATAATTTCTTAATGTCAATGAAAATCAAACCTAAGGGAAACTAGGAAGCAGTATAATGTGGTAGTTAGGGCTGTAAAGTTGTGGGTTCAAATTCTGGATAGAGCACTACTCTTGTATCCTTTAGCAACGCTCTGCACTCAGCCTGCAGTTGAAAACAGGAATGAAGGCACAGAAGTGTCTCATTATATGGGAAATGCAAAAATGTCATAATAATAGAACATGTAGTTACAAAAGTATATTAAGCAGCTTCATGCAGCTGGTTTCCCTCAGGTCAAGTCCAGGGTGCTGCTGTTGTGCCCTCGAGCAAAGTACTTCGATCAGACTGCTCCTGTAAAATGCCCTGCTGCGTGAGTTTTCTCCAGGTCATCTTTCTAAATGAGAATTTAGAAATTATTTATGTAACTCATCTGGTTAAATAAAGGGTTAAACAATACAGGCTTGTTGAACTGCAAGTTGAAATGGCTTATCCGGTTAGTGTTAAAATGACATGCTTATCTCTCTGTCAATAAAAACAATCACTTTACAAGTGCCTAAGTACATAGGCAAGGTTGAAAGACATCTTCATGAATATTCCAAAAAAGCTATTTTCATTTATTTTCCAATGGACATCTACATTATTCACTGTAACTAAAAATAGTTAGTTTTGTACACAAAAACTCATTAAAGAACAAAAACAGAAAGTAATTGAAGAATTTAACTGCTCAGCACATATTAGTCCAGCTACTGGCTAGAAGATCAGACAAAAAAGACAGTACATTTAAAATAAAGAAAAAAGGCAATATAAATTGAGATTCAACATAGACAAATTTAATTGTTTGTTGACTGCACATCACGCTATTAATGTTTACTGTGCTTGTCTAAAACTACAGCAGAGTTATGTTTTATACTTTTGTTTTATACTTGGAAAACAAAAGACATAAATATAGGCAGAAAACACACTGAAAGGTGAAGAAGACTTTTTATTTTCTTCTTTGAGGTTTTATTCTTTTTTTATAATAGTGAGCTATATCCCAGAAGGACACCCTCCAGGTACGTATCTGAAGAGTTGTGCAGCTCAAAACATATCTAGGGCCTGTGACTGTCACCTTCACAGGTTACTGGTAATGAAAAACACTGCATTTACTGGTTGGCTAGTTATGCCAAAAATGTACAACACAGAACAGTAAGTGAGCAGTGAGCATCCATTTTATTGTTTGGTTACTTCTTATCTGCAGTGGTGTTTCTCCATGAAATTTTAAATAAATCAAGCCTCTGCTGCACACAAAACACACAGTACATTAGGAACTGGGTTAGAAATGATTCAGAATGATCCGTTTCTGACAGCATCACATTAAACATGAAAGGGGACATTATGGCATCCCAAGAAGGCTGTGAAATGCAAATTGATACAAGGCAACCGTAAAACAGTTGAAGACCCGATGGTAAAGCATTAATGACACTGCTCAAGACACTAATTGCTTAATGTAAAATGCCTTTTTAAATTTCCTGGAATTGGCTAATCATACTGCATGTTTGTTCTCCTCTAATTCTAAACTAGTTTTAGATTTTGTTTTCAGTCATTTTTGTGTGTTAACATTTTGGAGGTAAGATTTTAAGCAAAACTCTGGAGCAGACAAATTAAACATTATGGCCAAGTTACAGTATTTGGTTCTGACCAATCAATTAAAAAGTAATGAAATGGCATCAGACATTTTAAGTAAAATATAGGTAAAATACAGTACAAATATAGTTTACATTACAAAGTGTAGTTGCATTTTTAACAAACAGAAATAGCTCAATAAATTAAGTCTAACCAAGTTCTCCTGTCTGTAACTTATACCACTTCTTTTAAGGCTAAAATTTCCCACTAAGAAAAATCTAAATCCTCTGGAAAACTGTTGGCAGAGAAATCACCTAAACTGTAAATACTATACAGAAATGAACAGTTTGAAGTGATTTATATGGATGAATATAAGTGTTTTACAACCCTTTGTCTTAGCTGAAAGTGTTTTATTGCTGTGCCTGGTTTGAAAGACCCAGTTTGACTTAAAATTGTAGCAAATTACACCTTTCATCAACATTTTATTTTGGCATAATAATCATTATCGAACATGAAATAAATGTCTCTACAAATTATGTTTTACATGCTGAAGGAAAAAAACAGATTTGCAAAATGTAAAATTTTATTTCCAAAATTTAAGCAACAGATTACACAAGTAACTTTTGGCAAAATCGCAATCCTAAATTATACCAACATCCGGACCCTTGAAAATGAAAGACTCACATACTTTATACTGCATCTACCTCTAAAATACTAAAAATGATAAGGAATAAATATTAAATTTGTCACAAGAGAAAAAGTAAAACGTAATTCAAAACAATCATTAGAGCAAATGTGCAGAAAGTATAAACAAGACAGTGTGCCTTTAATACAATTGTTTTTCTTGTTTTTTACAAATTGTGCAAGATTTCATACTAAGGCTCTGGTCTCAACGTGACAACTGTCCAACATACAGAAATACACAAGAGCTCCCTGTGATTTTAAGCACACTCAGGAATAGAGCAAACCTTTCCAAATTTAGGCCACTGTTGCTGTGTAGGGTCTCTGAAGGAGTCCAGGGGTAGCATGTGGAAAAGCTTTAAAATCATCATGCACTCCAAAATGATTCTAGACAGCTTCTGTAAAGCCTAGAGTTTACTTGATAGCAAAACTATATTATAACCATTAAGGCAATAATACCTTGAGTAGCATCAGTAAGACTGCAATACGCAGGAAGGGAGGACTGTGATACACTTAACAATACCTTGACAACTGGAAATTAGGGGTTTGCTTAGAAAAGCGCATTTCCACCCAAAACGTCTTCATTTTATTTCCAAAGAAAACAAAATATAGAGAAAAATAACAATGTCAGTCAAGAGGGAAATATGAATATGAATAATAAAACTACCATAAATATGTTCTAATAAAGTTGCAACTTCAAAGCACACAATATCACCCTTCCCCCCAAAAAATAAAACAAACACTTACATTGAAATCAAACTCCTCTTGTGTAGGTGTAATCCAACAATGTTGGCCACCCAGGACACACTTTGCTTTACAAATGAAAAATCTGTTGTAAAATAAAGTGTTGCTTTTTCATTTGTTTTGTTTTGTTTTTTCAGAAAACTGAGAAGTTCTTTTAATGCAATTGTTAAACAAATCAGCATCTTAGCATCTTCTTTTAGTGCAACTTTTTTAAAAGATGTAAAACAATATTCACTTATTCATTGGAGATAACCTTCTGCTTCTTTTATTCATAACTCCTACCTCAAAGAATAATCTTCACCAATCCAGTGAAGGGGGATTCAGTCTTTTGTTTTTTTTTGTTGTTGATTTTTCAAACAGATTTCCACAGCAACGGTTTACTAGAACATAAACACAGGTTTTCCAGGATTCACCATTTCTTATCAATTTCCATTTCTTCGTATGCTCTGCAAACACTCCAATTGTTGTTTCATCATATTTTGAAGAGATTGATTGACAGTCCACTTCAGCCTGTTGAAGAGGAGAGCTGTACAACAGGAGAAACCAGAGATCAATCAGAAAAAAAGAATCCTTCATATAACACAGTAGGGTTCCCTAGGTAACCTGGATTTTCTGCAGTAGAGGAGTGTCGTGCTGAAACAGCGCCTCAGCTCTCTGTTGGAGAAAATGCAGATAAATGGATTGACTCCTGCCTGGGCAAAACTCATCCAGACTGCAGCTGTCAGGTACCCTCCTGGCACTACGGGCCCCCTGGCGAAGACTCGCCAATAGCAGGCTACCAGATAGGGGCCCCACAAGGTTAGAAAGAAGAATGTCATGATGTAGAACATCCTGCTTATCCTCTTTTCAGTTTTAAACTCATCCAACACCAGAAGCCGCCTCCTGCCTGCTGTGTTGGTATTCTGCCTTATTCCTAGCAGGGTGGGTGGGGTTGGGCCTCTTCCAAAGCCGGCTAACCAGTTGGCCGCTGCTTGCCCACTGGCCCCCGGACCGTGGAATGTCCAGTTCTGGCTGACGGCTGGCACGAACTGGACAGGCTTCATCTTTCTGCGGTCATGGACGAAAAAGATTAGCTTGAGGTAGACAAGCTGAGTGGCAAGGAGGATGAGGGCGAGGAGTAGCATAAATCCCAGGGAATCATTGGCTCGGAAGGATCGGTGCTGGAAGGTACATTGATCTTCTTCCCTGATAAACGAATAGGTACCCACGTCCAAAACAGGAGGAAAAGCCATAGCCACTGATAAAGTCCACACCATGCAGATGACAGCCAGACAGGTCCAGAATGTCAGCCTTTTTGTATAAAACCGATGGTGGGCTATAGCAAGGTACCGGGTGACACTGATGCAGAATAACATAAAGGCAGTGTGAAAGCAAGATAATACTCCTAGGAAGGCAATTACTTTGCATGTAAGTGTACCATATGTCCAGGTCGAGCCATTTTTCACTGAAGTGAACACGAAGGGGAAACAAATTGCAGATCGGAGTATGTCAGAGCCACAAAGATCCAGCAGGAAGTAATAAGGTGCTCTGTGTAAGGTTTTGTCTTTGACGAGAAGGATAGAGATCAGGAGATTGCCAACTACGCCGACTCCGATGATAAAACCGAGGGACGTCAGTTTGAGGAAAGTGGCAAGAGGAGACACGTTCTGCAAGATGTTGTGGTCACCTGCATGGCTATAGTTCGCCATAGATAGAGGGATCATAAGAAGATAGCTTCAATCAAGTATCATGATCTAGAAGCACAGGGAAGATATAGATCCATTGATGTGCTTTAAAATACAGTCTGGGCTTGAAAGCAGTCTCTCTTCTAAGGCATCCTTTGTTCTTTTGTTTCATCACACCCAAAGCCCTGAAAAATATTATCCACCAATCAGGCTTTCTTTTATATCAAACTGATTTCATTGCATTAATCTGACTACAAAGGGAATACAGTAACTGTATGAAGAGCTGTCTTTCTTCCAGCAATTTTTATTTTATCCATCCCTGCACGCTACAAATAAAAAAGCAGTCAGGAGAAGATATTCTTTCCTTTTCTTGGTTCTTAAAAAAATAAACGTTAATCTACTACTACCAATGGTCAGCTTGTGACATCGAAAATAAGAAATAGTTTTCATCTTTATTGTGCTATGGATTTTAATCTGTTTAATGGTTACATGTCTTCAGCGGATAGAGGCAAAGGTTTAAAATCAATCGAAGCCTGGTAGTACCAGAGAACGCGAAACATTTCATACAAATGCAGCAGAAAGCTGTTGATCACACCCAAAGACCCTGCAGAATTTATGTATCTAGCTAGCAGCAGCCTCTTTGAGCTCACTCTTCATGCATTGTTGAAAATTAATGGAGGGTTCATACAGCGCTAAGCATCTATGTTTGTGTCTATTTATCTGTTACAATTACTTGCTGCACGTTAATAAGGTTCTCCTTTAAGAAATATGTTTAAGCGGGGGTTATTGTTTTGCAGCGCTTTGATATCCCGGATAAGGCAAAATGCTCAAATTGAGAGCATTTTCGAAAAGCATCCGAAATTTTCGAAATGTAATTTTTAACCCAATACATTTTTTTTCTTGATGCTTAAATAGTCAGAGATCACACCCATTCCCATTTTATTTAAAATGAAACAATATATTTTACTAGGAAATATAATAAGACAGACTGTTCCATATACTGTATAATGGATACGCGTTGTGATCCACTGAAGTAGCATTTAAAAATACGATATTGGAACGAGTAAACTATGAAGGTCTTCGGTTGTGGACATTAGATGTGCCTTTAATGATAACCAACATTTAAAACATTAAATTCCGTTTACAAGTACGTTCTAAGACGCATCATGATGATTTTCCCCCCATTGCAGTTTTGACAGTAAAATGTTGAATTGCACATACACTGTAAACTGCACGTCCATTAAGCAGAACATTTTTAAGTAATAGGCATTGACTGCTATTTACACCATATTTCAAGACACAGAATCGAAACAATTGCTAAGAAATGAATTAAAATCATACCTGTTGATTTTCCTCTTTGTTTCCCTAGAGGTTATTTGTATTGCAGAAGTCACTTTGCTGTAAAAAAGCTTGGTTTTGTTGCCTGTTCTCTTTTTTCACAGTGAATATACAGTAAACGGGCATGCAAGGAGCATGCGCACTGATCCTATTTGTGATCCAAGACGCGTCTTGTCTCTTGTTGCAGCACCACGGTCTCTCCCGGCAACATCTGCTCAATGGGGGCAGCATCAATAGTCTTACATTTTCTTCATCAATCATACACTCCGGCGTGTGCTACCTTCTCACTTAATTTCAGTCGAAGCTGTGCATAAGTTTCAAAGGTTCTGTCATTTATTATAGCCCACTTTTTTTCCTGAGCTAGAAGACCACCCAGAATTAAATGTGCAGATATTCTTAAAGCTGTATAGCTGTAACTACGATAACCACAACCAAAAACGGGAGTATTGGTTGTGAAAGTGGTTATTTTACGTGTTATATGCGTGCACGCCGTCCATTATTACCGAAAACGAGCAGATCGGGAATACAAAAGGGGCCAATCGTTGCAACACTGAACTGCGTTTGCATTTTAAATACATTACGGAGAAGGTGGCTAATTTAAAGATACATTTTGAATGGTAATTACTGGCCTATGTTAATCGAAATTCGAGGGTAGTTCGAGAAGTTGTCTGGCTAGACAGGAGGATCAAATAACTTAACCGAGTTGCTTCAGTCCAATGAGTGTGAGCCAATCAATCTGCCCATGCAGTCATTGTTCCCAGATTGCTTTATGTAAGATCTGCTTTTGTAGATAGAATTTAACGAATAAAAAAGCGAAAAGCTGCTGCAGCACTGTGCCGCCTTTTGTGATTGACTACCTAGCCTCTAATGTTAGAAGACGGTCTGATCCTTTAATTGGTTTTCACTAAACACGGTCTGCCTGCAAAAGACAAATCATAAACAAGGCACAAAGCAAACTAGAACACCGTGACCTGGTTGTCCGACCACATTAAAATGCACTAAGGAGTAGCAACGTTGCCCCGTGACGTTTCCTTCTGATACACTGCTACGCCTTCACCAACCTCATAAATATACAAGCGGTTGGTGCACATATTCAATTTTGTTCCCCCGAAAGGGGCTTAATCTAGTGAATCACCCCTCAGGAAGTGCGCATTTACTAGGAAATATAAATATGTCAGCACATGTGCTTCCCATTGAAGCATAACATATCTAAAGTTAAGAAGACAAGCTGAAGATAAAAAAGTCTTCCTTTTATCAGTTCTAAAATACAGCAATTAAACGGGGATGTACGCATGTTAAAGGCTGCTGTTTATATTCAATGTTTGCAACATAATTATTCTATTTAAATAGAAAAGATACATTTAGCACGCATGTGTCCTTTCAGTCAAGGGGTTTACAGTTTTAAAGGGGAAATAAATCAAACAAACAAACCTGACATAGCAAAGTAAAACGTTTATTTGAATGTATTATATTGGATACATTGTCAGAGTATACTAAGGCAACAAAAGCAGGTTGTATGGCTTAACATTTCCTTAGGGTAAATCTACATCAAATGCAGATGTTAGGTTTCATTATCGTAACTCACTCTTTTACGGACATTTATAATGTGGTTTGTAAGATGACTGGTATACAGTACTGAATCACGTAAGCAAAACAAAATATTTTCTGTAGGATGTACAACACTATGAAAACACAAACCTGTGTTAGGCCCATGTTATTTTAGCTAAAAATAACCAACTCTCACGTGTAAAAGAAAATATACAGCCTGGACTTTTTTGTCAACTTTTTCCACAACTCAATCTTGAAGTTAATAAACTTGTTGTGCTCTTTAAAACAATTTTTAAAAATGAAAAGGCTGTCTTAATGTTATCTTTCTGGTACACAACCGGATTTTTACTTGTCAATACCAGGGAAAACGGAAGAAGACGATAAATATACAGGGTAACATTTTTTTTTAAACAGAATTTAGGGATTAACCCCATTTACAAATGAAAAATGTAAACTGAATTAAACCTTCAAAAAAGTGGCCAAAAACAACCGTCAAAATGAAGTTTACATTCTGTACTTAACTAGACAAAAGTAATTGATGTTGAAATCGATATCTTAAACTTTATGGCTGTTTTTTAAATTATTGTAGAGTATTTAATATCTGTATCTCTCCCCATCAAAATATGCAAACGAGCACGTAGAACACTGCGAATCAAAGCAGCACGTTTAAGGTTAAATATGTATATATCCCAGACAGATTTACACTTAATAGCTGGAGATCACACTCAGTTACTGTTTCAAATTGCTGTGAAATAGAAAGGCGAACCAAAAACCTAAGAAACAACAGAACAAGAACAGTACAATTTTCCCATTTGAGGACACCAAGTCCAAATTGAACTAAATCACTTTCGAAAACAACCCTAAATGGCAACATATTACACTACAGAAGGTAATATCGTTTAAGTTGTCAAAGTCCCAAAGCTGTAGATAACTTTTCTGTGTTTCTCATCAAAGGGGCCCAGAGGAATTCCGCAGTTCTCCTTCAATCCGGACGCCAATGTCTTGATGGGATTCATTCATTAGGCAACCTGGCTCCTTCCAGGGATAATCGGAATTAATTCTCCTCCCTTTTATACAATCTTCTCGTCCCCCCCTTCGTCCTGACAAATACCGCGTTTGTGTCCATTTTGGAGGGCGGCAGGTTTAATTTTCCACCGAAAGAGATGTCTAAATTCGGTTTCAAGGAAGTCCCTTTTTCCGGAGCAAAGCTACTTCAGAATCAAAGCTTTACATGACTTATTTTATTATTTGGTGTACAAAAGGATCGAGCAAGTCCCACGATGATTAGGGATGGAACACATCTAATTTCCGCCTCCAGGCCTGGTACAAGACAACAGCACATCACATCAGGTCTCACAACTGCCCATTTCTTTTTCTTGCATACCATCCCAAGCACGCACAGAACCCGACGACGGTGACCGTCATTCCCAAAAGCAAAGCAACAGCATCTCCGCCGTCAAAAGCTTCCGCGGTCGGCAGACAGGCCAGTAAGAAAAGCCCAAGAGTTACAAAAATGCCGGAGAAGTCAGAATTAAAAGCAGAAGCCATGTTGTTCCACGAGTTGATCAGATGACCAGCGTGCATTTCCTGCCTACGTGACAGGCTTATTGTTACTGTTAGTTGTAACACCTGCCTGTCTACGGTGGTGGGAGGGCAGAATTATTCTGCATGGTTTCTTTCACAACGGGCTTCCTTTATTCAATCAGCATTAGAAACTATTCTTATGTTTGTACATATGCTTTCAAACGAAGATTCAGTTTTCAAATAAAATATCGCGTCGACATCGTATAGTATTGTAATCAGTATTGTATTTTAATCAACCAGCTAATTATTTTGGGTGAATTTGTTTTGTAAACGGATACTGTTTAACATGATAAGTTAAGAATTGTTTGGTGCCTTATTTTGATTATTTTTGACGTTGAATGTGGAACATTTTAAGAGGCAATTTAACGAAAAAAAAAATTAATTGGTATCTGGCAAGATGATTTTAGAATTAGGGAGCATGTGTCTTAATACATGCTCAAGACTGTTCAACCCCTCTAAACGAGATATTCTTTGTGGGCCTGGTTCAAACACCACCTGAAAACAAAGAAGGAGAAATTATTATGAAATAAATAAAAATTGCCGTTGATCTACTTGTTTTGGATTTTTTTTTCATAAAATAAGTTAACAGAAAGACAAGTATTTAAATAATTTATCAAAAAGATTACCGTGATCCAATGATCTCCCCCCAAAAAATATAGAACCCTGTTAAGGAAACGGAGTGTAATGAACCGAGTAAAATCGTGGGTAAAATGGATACTGCAATGGAGGATAATTTTTTTAATCAGTTTTAACAACAGAACAGTAAAAGATTAAATACAAAAAATAAGTAATAGGTTTACTCCATGCTGAAAAAAAGAAGAGAGAAAACACAACATTTTGGCCGTTTAGCCTTCTTCAGTGTGAGGGTGTGAGCTGCTCACACCTGAAGGAGGCTAAACGGCCGAAACGTTGTGTTTTCTCTCTTCTTTTTTTCAGCATGGAGTAAACCTATTGTTCCTTTGCAGCCTACGCATGCTGACGCAGCTACCCACCTGAACTACTACAAATACAAACAAAATATGAACTGAAAACTTCTAGATGGTGAAATATTTAACCGATTTTAGAAAATAATGAAGAAATTAACCACATGGATCCAGCTAAGGAATGGCAACATATTGAATAGTGATAGCTAGAGGAGGCAAAATACTTCAAGGCAATGCATGAATTCAGATTGAGAACCTGTTAGTCAATAGAAAACAGAGAGTACAGATAAGAGGTGGATTCTCTAAATATGGGTGGAGTAACACAGGGATCTGTATTTGGACCACTGCTCTTCCTAATTTATATCAATGATCTAGATTCAGATATACTGTAGGTACTGTAGAAAAACAGTGATGTTTGCATATGATTGCAATATAAAATAGGAGGATTAGCAAACGGTGTAGAATCTGAAAATAATTAGGAAGGTTTTGATAGAATCAAGACTGGGCATATGGGTGATGAATTTTATTGTAGACAAGAACAGAGAAATACATGTAGGTAGCAAAATCCCGAACTATATATTTAAAAAGGGAAACACCTGAGCAGAAATAAGATACAGTAGGTATTAAAATACTTAGATGTTTATGTGGACACATACTGTATCCGTCTTCATAATTCTGATCAAGCTGTCAGAAATGTTTGGCCTCCTAGAATAATCTCACAAAAGAGTGTCTGCACTCATCAGAAAGAGCCTCTCTTTCTGTCCCCTGCTCCCACCCCTCACTCCTTTGCTTACTGCCCTGTCTTTCTTACACCTGAAGAAGGTTCCACGGCCAGAACGTTGTGTTTTCCTTCTTCTTTTTTCAGCATGGAATAAACCCATTACTTGTTCTTTTACAGCCTACGCATGCTGACGCAGCTACCCACCTGAACTACTACAGTCTGCAATCATTGCTCAATTTATTTGATATGCATTGAGTATGCAACATTTTCTGGATAACAATAATTGTTGCTTTAGACACACAGGGATTCATATGTAGTGTATCACCATTTAGAGTAAGAAAGACTCCATTATGTCCTATTGTGAACATGTTATTCAGAAGACTAAAAGGAGAGAGCCTAAGGTTAATTAGTAATATGTCACCCTCTGACCTTGTGTACCCTCTAGAATGAATCACTGTCATCTTAAAACCCACTCACCCGATATGCCGCATTGTAATTCTATTGAATTTTCACTGTTAGCAATATCTTTGCTGTGGATTTCTATAACAAAAAAACATAACACTTTCTCATTTTTTTTACATTATGAAGTTTTCGAAAAGAAAATTGAAATAATGAGAGACAGTCTTACGGTGTGTTTTCAATTACTAAATTAAATGTTGCCAGTATTATTAAAACTATTATCAGTTACCAGTTAATACAAACACCAAGTGAATTAACTCATCTATCAAACTGGTAACACATTTCAGTCATTTACACACTGTGGGAAGCTCTGAACAAGCTCTTCAGATCCCTTAATGAAACAGTATTGCTAATACAGTTTTTATCCCTTTTGACATTGCACAGATGCCATCAACATCCTCATTATCCATGATATCTGAATGACCCTTTCTCAAAATGTAGGTTGTTACAGTGCACAAAAGCAATATATATTTAAAGAAAACAGCCTTACAAGTCAATTTAGAAAGTCAGTTAGTACCTTTATCATTATTATCATATCCAAATCATTTGTCAATTGGTAAGCGCAGTACACACAAAAGACCTATTGTATATAAGAATGTTAATTGTAAATGTTCTAGCACATGCAATTTCTAAGCACGTTTCAGAGAGATGAGATGTAAATTAAATTAATATGAAATGTTCCTAACATA